CTCTAATAGCAACCAGTCCTTTAATCTACGCAGTAGATTAAGCAAAATTCCCTTTTAAAGGTCATCTGGCTTGTCCGCTTAATGTTTCATGAAGAAAAAAATACTACTAATAAAATAAAAACACAAATCTATCAAACTCCTCCAGTTACACTCTTCTCTCCCTGAGAATGTCTAAAGCAATTTGGAAAAACCAACTATTCCTTGAGTCACTTAAGTGGCTCACAGTTGTCACAGAACCCCTCCTGTTTATGCAAATCACATCTCAATTGAAAAATTGGAATGGCACCTAGCAATACATCTAAAAGTTATGAAACTGTTCAGTATGTTTTGGCAATTTCTCTCTTCTAGTTTGTATTCCTAAAGGTCAGCTCAGATATCCCTGTATGTAAGTGAAATGAAAAAGCACAGATCAAGATGATGTAAATCCTTGGAGGGGCAAGTATTTCATAAATCCACAAAAGAATTTACATTATTCCAAAAGATAACAACCGAGGGGCTTCAGTTGTGTTTATGGTCCCCTCAACTGGATCACAGCCAGAAAAAAAATTGTTGACACAGACAACTCAGGGTTAATTTAGAGGCAGTTCTAATTGTTTTTATTTATATGTCTGCTCTGCTCAGCATAGAGAGATTGTGTGAGAATGTAACTTTTTTGCATTTAAAAGAACAAATGGGTAAGGAGAGTTGCACGTCCTCCGTATACCCCTACTTATGCATCCCTTGTTTCAGCCGGCTTTCTCCTATCTAGCTCACTTCCGGTAAATATGTATATGGAATGTGTATACACCTTGGGTCCAAACTATCTCAAGGACAACATTTTCCTTTATGAACCTGCTCAAGTGTTAAGATCATCAGGAGAGGCCTTTCTCTTGGTCCCACCACTTTCACAGGTGCATTTGCTGGGGACAGAGGAGAGTACCTTTTCTGTTGCTGCTTCCAGACGTTGAAACGTCTCCCTCCCACAGGAGACCAGCTGGCCCCATCTTTCTGTAAACATGCAGAGACCTTTCTTTTAAAGCAAGCTTTCCCCCTTCATGCCTGGCTGCCTGAGTTGGGTTCTTAAATGGATTGCTGTACTTCACTGCTTTGGATTTATTTTCATGTTGTTTCTGATCATTATCTTTTAGTGTGATATTTGTTTGATTCTTTTAAGTATTTGCATACTTACTGTTTTTAGCTTTTAATATGGTCTTCTAGTGAGGTAAGCTGCCTTGGTTCCTTCTTAAGGAGAAAGGCAAGTAAAATACATTTTTAATAAAATAATAAATAAATATATTACCTCATCTGGCTAACTTGTTCTCCAAATGTTGTTCTCCAAGTGTTGTTCTCCAAAGTGTTTGGAGAACATTTTGAAGTTTCCAGATTCACATGCCTCTTAAGTGCATATACACCAGCAAAATCTCTTACATGAGGGCCCCTACCAGGATGATCACTATTGTGAGAAGAAAACTTAATACAAGAAGAAAAATAATCACCCAAGCGCCCCATGGTATCATTAATTAAAATTAAAATGGGCCTTGGAGCTTAGAGGACCTAATGCACTGGTTCTCAGGCTTTGGTCCTTTTGATGTTTTGGATGTTAACTCTAAGAATCTCTAACCACAGGGCTTGCTGAGAAATGAAGTTGAAAATATTTGGAGAAACAAAGGTTAAGAACCACATACTGAGCAGATACCCTACACTGTTCCCAACACTGAACTCTCACATTATATTTTCTCATTTGTGTGCACCCATGCACCTACAAAAAGCAAAAACACTGCATTCACTATATCAGTGGTTCTCAATCTGTGCTAATGCTCAGTAGAAAAATAAATGAGGAACATATACTTTAATGGAAAATAAAAAAGAGGACTTTCCTGACTCTAATACATAGTTGAAAATTTAGTCTTACAGAGCCAAAAGCCAAAATGCTACTCATAAATGAAGTTCGGTCCTAACTTTGTGCTGTTTTCTTTTTCATTTTGAATTTAATTAATCAACATATAGATTTTGGTATTTGATTATTTTGATGGGAACCCGAAACAGTTAAATGATTCCCCTAAATGAATGTTACAGAGAATGTAATTGTTTTTAAAAAAGCAAAATATTGAATTTATCCACAGCTTATGGATAAATGCAACTACAGTGGTGCCTCGCAAGATGAGCCCCCCGTTTAACGACGAAATCGCATCACGACAAACTTTTTGCGATTGCAAAAATGATCCCTTTACGATGTTTTAAATGGGTTTTTTTTCGCTTTGCGATGATCGGTTCCCTGCTTCAGGAACCGATTCTCGCAAAACAACGATTTTCGGTCAGCTGATCGGCGGTTTCAAAATGGCCACTGGGTAAAAAAAAATGGCTCCCCGCTCTTTTCTAGGACGGATTCCTCGCTGCACAGGCAGCGAAAATGGCCGCGCTATGGAGGATCTTCGCTGGACGGTGAGTTTCAAGCCCATAGGAACACATTAATTGGGTTTTAATGCGTTTCTATGGGCTTTTTAATTTCGCATTACGTTTTCGTTCGACAGCGATTTCGCTGGAATGAATTAACATCTTAATGTGGGGCATCACTGTACCTTTATTACTATTACATATATAAATAATAGGAAAGCATTGCTTCTAAAGTTCAAAGGATTTCACTGTAGGCAAGCTGCTAAGACAAGATTTCTAATTTCTCATCCAACTATTTTACATGCAGTGTTTTCAATAAAACAGTCTGCACATTTACAGAGTTTCTCCTGACTCCAAAACCAGTTTAAAAGAGTACATAAATTTCTAACAATTGGTACTCTTAGGACTGTTTAGTACAAAGCCAACACATGGAACGAGGGGTTTATATTTTGTCTCAAATATCCTTAACTAGCTGAAAAAAATTCTAAGTGGAAATTCTACTACATTAAAGTTTTATTGGACAATCAAGATAATACATAACCTGTTGCTCCCTGCAGTAGAATACGGTTGCATCCCTCAGAGAACTAGATTCCCTAAAGCCAGAGGGGATGTTTATGTAAGTGAGATCAGTACCATATGATGTAAATTAATTCATTTCACAACCATCTTCACTTGGCCAGGGTTCTTTTCATATACAGTATATTCACAGGATGTGAGCCAGAGTATAGCTCCAACATGTTTTTGCATGACACTTTTCAGAAACTCAGCAGTGAAACAATGTTACTGTTACCACTTCAACTTACTGTATTTTCATTACACACAGAGACAATGCAAGTGAACATACACAAATGAGGTACTGCTCCTGTGGTGGCTGGCTAATACACTAACTACTTCGTTTGAAGAAAAGAGAAGACCATGTCCTTCAAAAGAAGTTCCCTACTTATTCATTCTTAAGAGTCTGAAGTCAATGAATCAGGAGACTGCAAATCTGTTGTAAAAGCAGCTAGCAACGGCAATTACAGGCATGAAGGCTATGATCTCCAAGGATCTGCTCTATTTTTGAAAAAAAAATAGTTCTTTTTTAAACTTGAAAACACAGCAGATCTTTTTTGTCAAAATGTGCTGAAAAGGGACACAGGTTAAATGAAACAAAACCTTTACTAACACACAACAATTTTAAAAGAGTTTTGCAACTGGGGGAGCACAGCTTTGAGGTTTCCCAAATCTCAGTTAATCCATGTAACCCTTGTTGTGAGTCACCAACACTTCTGCATGCAGTGATAAGAATGCTACAATTTGTTTCTCTCACTTTCTCTCACCTATAGACTGTACAGGGATGGGTCCAAATCTCCTTGGGAAAAGCAATGTGTGCCCAGTTATTGATGCAGGTGCCTGTATTACTACATAGGAATTTGCTTGGAAACCTGCTTTCCCTGCATTTTGTATCCCCACATGCTCAAAGAAACAGCTGCTCTGTGTAAAAGTCTCCTTGGCTTGGTGAAGACTTCCATTTATCTTGCAATTTTATTACAGCCAGTAATGCTGGACTATAGTATTTGCAGATAGAACATCTGCAAGTATTACAGCATTTTCTCATTGATGGCTATTTTTTGTGGCCCAGGAACATTGTAATAGCAAATTTGAAAAACTGAAGTATTTTTGACTGCCTGGAGTGAATTATTTGTCACTTTATCCTTACCCTTAGGAAATCCTGCCATTTTCAAACTACGAATGTGCATAAGGAGGTTCGACTTGCAAGCATATTTACTTCAGTTTACTCAATGTACTTCAAAATTTTAATGTTAACTTCCGCTTTGTTTGCAATGAATAAAATATAGTGTATAATCTCTACCCAGCTGAAGAGCTCAGCAATTTCGGTATCTGGCTACGGAGCCAGAGACTGGGACTGTATAATCTCTACCCGGCTGAAGAGCTCAGCAGTTTCAGTATCTGGCTACGGAGCCAGAGACTGGGAGTTTGATTCCCCACTGTGCCTTCAGAGAGAAAAGCCAGCCTGTGTGACCTTGGGCAAGCTGCACAGTCTCAGAATGCCCCCAAAAGAAGGGAATGGCAAACTGCTTTTGAGTATTCTCTACGTATGCCTGAAACATATTCACTGTCCAATTATGTGATGCTTCCACATAAACAGCCTGCTCCTTTGCTCTTGAGTGTCTCGTTCCTTCATAAAAAGTATGGCTCCTTGCATTTCAAAATCATCAAGTATTCTATATCTTTGAATATGATCCCTGCAGACACACATCTGAATAGAATGTTTCTTAATTACCATAATAATATGGTAATAATAAAAAGCTTGCAAGAAGCACTGTCCTTGGAGTGTGTGTGAATGGAAACAAGTTAAGAAAGCTCTCTGGAATAACACCAACAGTGTTTAGTTATTTCACTTGAGTGCTGCTGGATAAGCAGTTTCATGTAAGAAGGGTTGGGGAGTGTTTTTAATCTCTTTATCATTCCAAAATTCCTGTCAACTTTATCTAGGGATCCTGAGATCTACAAATATATAACTTGACATATCTGTAGCACACACAAACCGGCCTTTCGCATAGGTGAAAAACTGTCATGCTTTACTCCAGCTGCTATACATCAATAATAAATCTCCATATACTCACAGATGTAGAAATATTCCCGGCCTGGCCTGAACTCAAATCCTAATGAGAAGGGAGTGAAGAGCTGGAATTTTTCTGAGAACTTCAATGGTCCATTTGGAGAATGAGGCCGGTTGCACTCCCACCTCTTGAATCCTTTGGAGGTATGATCACAGGAACTGTAGCCATCAAAGTTCACCATGTAAAGTATGTAGCGTTCAGTCTTATCTTCTGGCACTGAATCCTCATAATGAGGACAGAATACATCCAAATAATCATTGATGCAGACATCAATATGGTAGTCACCCCTCTGGAATCTGAAAATAAAACCAAGAGACAACCAGCTCAGGTAAATTTACTATTTAAAAAAATCACTTCCACTTTTAAAAAGTCTTTAATATTTCCTTAATCAGAAAACAGTATACTGTGGGGATAGCTTGGGAAATTGCTTGAGCAGCTGTTTTGAATTCAATGCCCTTTAAAGGAAGGGCCACCGCCATTTCTGATTACATTCTTTGCCTTAATAAAATTGCTTCCAAACCTGCATGCTAGCCTCTTTCCCCTCTGTTTTTCTAATACAGAACAAGTCCTACATTTCTTTTTTACACAATGAGACCAGTGCCTCTATATACTCGCATGTAACACAATATACTGAACAGCAAACAAGCTGGGAGATACCATTTCTGCATCAGAAGCAGGGCTGATTACAGGAACATATGTTTCCCAGAAACATTAATTCAACTTTACTTTTTCTGTACTGCTGGCATTGTTTAGTTAAGATCCAAGAAACCTCTGGTAAACCTTTGGAAGATTTTTGAAAAGCAATATAACTCTGTTGCCAAGGTACACAGAAGAGATACTGCTGTTCAAATAAAAGACTTCTAGGCTTTGAATTATCAGGATTCACCTGCCAGTTTAGAAGGAGAGCCAGAAGAGAAAGGCGGGAGAAGGCACTTTTGCCAGTACACTTTTGTTATCAGCGATGGTATGCAGCATTAGTTGAAACAACAATATTGTAGATCTTGCTGTTATTGTAGTAGGGTCACAATGTAGTGCCAGCGAGGGTCAAAATATTTTACTTCTGACTCTCAGCTACATGTTCTAGATAGAACAACATGTTGATGGATGAACATGTGCAAATCCCCAGTGCGGCAATCTAGATACAGGTAAGATCAACTGACATATGAAAGGTTTTACTCACAAATAAAATTAGCACAGATTTGCATCATTACGGTGAGAGGGGTTATAAACTAAACAAGCTTGGAGAAAAGTGCGCTGCTGCACTGTGGAAACTGAAAGATTCCCCGAGACTTCCAAAGGTGCCTGCGAGGGAGAGTTCCAACGCAGGCTATCTCCATATACAGTGTATTCCAAGAACACATATTTGCAGACATCTTTGCTTCTGTCACCTGGAAAAGGCTAAGACCTTCTTCAAAATGTTCTCCTAAGCCTTCATGTCTTGCTGCAATGCTTCCTGGAAGAAAGCTGCCCCAATGGTTTCTTGGTATGTCTGTTCTTCAGGAGGTGCTCTCTTTAGATGGTAAAGAGCAACAAGACTACCACCCCAGGAAGCACTGGGGCAGCTTCCTCCCGTAAAGCATGGCATCAGGAAATAAAGGCTTAGAAGGCAGCCTTGAGGGAGGCCTCTGCCTTGCCCAGGTGACTAAAAAAAGGTGTGTGCAGGAATGTGTTTCTGAAGAATTCTTGGACTTGAAGTCCCAAAACAAAACAAAGCCCCCAATAGCACATTCCTAATGTTAATTAAAGCTTCCAGCATAGAGCCTTTGAAGTGGAAATGAACTTCTCAGGTAATTACCACAGAACTAACTCTCCAAAACATACACAGGTAGAAAATAAACCATGTCTCCTAGAGAAGAACCAAACGGTGCCATACCATTAAAAGTCATCCAGAAAGCACTTATAATGACAGTACAAGTCTTGCATTAAGCAAATGACAAGGAAAAAGACCAATATCATCATTACAGAACCTGGTTCTACAAGAAAAAAAAATGTTCTGTCTGGAGAAGCCCTTAGCTACAAAATATGATTCAAAGTTATGTTCTTGTTTCTTTCAATTCCAGTTTTCATTTGTAGCATGCATTTGCCAGTCAATGTAAAGGCTGTTACACAAATGGCATTACTTTTAGATGCAAACTGTTGTTAAGAAGTATCTGTAGGCATGCTGAGTCACACAACCCAGTATGCAATAGATATGTATAGAGAGTTCATATGTATGGCCATTCAGTTTCAAAAGTTACAGCATCTACATAGCCAAGCAACAGTATTTCAGCCACAACATAACGAGCACCATGTAAAATACTGCTTCTGGGCCACCTTGTTGTACAACTGTGGTACAGTATTTATATTTTCAGCACCAGCATCTTCTAGCTGTCCTTTCCATTCTGTATATTTTGATCTGCACTACCCTTATTGCCTCTGGTTTCTATTCCCTGACAGCAGCCACTGTCAAGTGCACTGAGAATAATAAAGACACTGTGACATATTTAACTATAATGTTCTTTCTCACCTGAGGCACATATTTTAAGCACCTGCTGGACCTGAAATCTGCCAACTGGATCCTTCTATCTAATTTGGGAAGAAAAGCAATGATCATCTGGCCTTCTCTAAGGATATATTCAGAGCAATCTATTCACCTCTTACAACCATTTAGCTAACATAATACAGTTTTTAACAAAAGAAAAATTGTGTGTATTGTAGGAGCAAACGCCTGATCAATCTAATTCTAGCCATCACACAGCATCACATAGTTTTCTACAGAAGCTTAGCAAATGGATTTCATTTCACCATTCAAGTATGCTTTAACTATTAATGTAAACTAAATGTGATGAAAGATTTCTGTGGCTGACATTCCTTGGTTTTATATATATAAATGGGGCCTTAGTGCCTTTCAATCCCATTTGGAGGGGGCAGGGGGAGAAGACAGTTTAATCCTTTCTGTTTAGTGCAAATCCTTCTCTTTGCATTACCTCTCTTTGTGTATCCTCACCTTTGTTTTCACATACACTTTACCAATGAGGGTAAAGACAGTTTTGTGAGAAGCCATGGTCATGATGATCATGGATGTTTTTGGGAAAAGATATCTGGATGAGAGATTGGAAAAGTACATTAAAAAAATTAAAGAGGAAAGAATATAATGACAAGATAAAGTCACCTAAAACTGAGCTACAGTAGGATGATGTCTTGGGCCCCTAGATGCTTCAGCATGCCATTATGTCCATTCTTCTTAAAAGTAACTTTTCACTGGAGTTCTACTAATAGAACTCCCATATCATACTCAGTTTGATTATCAGTAACCAAGTTGCTGTAGTAGTCCAGTGACTTGAACAAAATGTTACTGGCTCAAATCCTGTTGCTGAGCATAGCACGTCACACTAGATTAGACCCACTGAATTAGTGGGGATTTAATGAATCAACTCATCTTTGAGTTCCACTGATTCAAACAAACGTACTCTAGTTGTGACGTAATATGCTAAAGTCACAACTACTTTAGGCTCATTTGAATCAACAGAACTTAACAGAATTGACCCAAAATTCCTACTGATTCAGTAGGCCTACTCTAGTGTTATTTACCACACTAATAAACAGGGTTTCAGTGAACGGAAATAAATTTCCTTTGAAAAGGTATGTTGTACTAACTCCCAGGCTAAAGAACATAGAGCTTGCCAAGATTTTTCTTTCCATTCATTGGCAATTAAAGAGTCACCACTGACTTGTCTATTCTCAAGCAGCTGGTCTGGAGATAAAAGTGTATACATTTATAATAAATTCTAAAGCAATGATGACATTGCAATGGTCTAAGGAGGTAGAAATTGGAAGTGAAACGATAAATTACATATAGCTCTTCCTGTGAATTTCATTGTATGTGTATATACTTACAATGACAATAAATTATTATTATTATTAAAAGCTGAGATCATCATGCTAATGTCCCACAGTGATGAGTCCAGGAAACTTTGTTGTCTGATGACCGCACTTGCAAATTAAGCCTAGTTTACTTTCTGATGATCAGTCACAAATAAAGCATGCTAAATTGAAATCCTTTTGCTGTGGCAATCAGTCTTTTAGCACTCATCAGTTGGCAATGTTTTTGAGAAGATGACAAACATCCCCTCTCCCAAAACACAGCAGGCTGTATTTTATATTATTTACTTCTTTTTCACACTCTGTTGTTTTTTTCTTCCATAATTTCCCCCTATAATATCCATGAAGTTTACAAATGTTCACCTATTTTTTCCTATTTGAACTCCTAGACTCCACTGGGCAGTCTCGCAAACAGGGCTACAGCCAAGCCCCCAAATTAATCCACTGAGTACACATGCTATTTTTATTATTCGTTTGTGGTATAAACGGAGGTTCACATAAAAAGGAAAAAACCCAAGTCCTTTCTGTTTACAAAAACAACTACAGTATGCAGAACAATGAATCTACGCTTCCATGGGTATCTAAGAAACTAACTTCTTTCAAGCCTGCCCTGTACATGAGCATAACAAAAAACAAACAGACAGACTTGAAATAAGCCAGCCCTTTCTCCCAAAAGCACATTTTACTAGAGAATGAACACAGAACACCAGAAACCAGATATTTTCTTACTAATAATGCCATTTGCCTTCTTAGGCTATTTGTTACAAACAGGAAAACACAAAACTATTCTTCAAACACAATTAACTTTTACATTCAGTCAGCTGATGCCCATACAGTATCATGGAAACCGCATATTACTGTGTCAGATAATAGGCACTAAAGCTTTAAAGAGGCATGGCAAAGACAGAGAGAGTGAAGTTGCTCTGAACCCAAATAATCTTGGTAGCAAATAAATGATAATTCATTACACAGAACTCCTACTGACATCAGGCCCAAACAGACTTGTTCACAGCAACATCAGATGTATAAGTATTTTGTTTCCCAAACACCTCATATTTGTTCCAGCTGCAGGAATGGGGGGGGGAACTACCTGACATTTTAAAAGAGAGAAACATACAGTACTGGCAAAATGCTTTGAAATTAATTCTGGAGCTCTGTTTATCTATCATTACAAAATGCAGGCATGGCGAACTACCATGTGCCTTTTTCATAATTGTAATTCTGAAGCATACGTGAGTCTTGTCTCAAATCTAATAACTTTGTTGGCAGTGGATATAAGAGTGATCTAGTTAACTAGGTATTTAGAATGCAGTAGCAATGTTTGCATGCTGCTCCTTCTTTCATATTTTTTTTTAAAACCCAACAACACAAAACTCTCACATAAAAAACAACCAAAACTGACACTAATTGCCCATTATCATATAGATGGCTAAAA